CTTTAGCTTTCTTGACGATAAACCGTATATTTGGCGGTTGTCATTTTCTTCCACCGCTAATTTGTCCCCATCACATGTCATAGCCGGGTGATTGGGACTGACAGAAATTAGGGGTTTTAGCTTGATTATTTAATAGCATTGTATTTTAATTTTTAATGCTCCTTCAAAGCAAGTGAAAATGACAAATGTTTCTTGAAAATTAACTCCAGTTCAGTAACATTTCGATTAATAATGCTAATTGTACTGTGCTTTTAAGATTATCTCCATACTGTTGTTAGGATGCATTCAGATCATCTTTACTATCAAAAAAAGTAGCAGAGAAACCACTACTATCACAATTATTATCTGTTGACGGTTAAGACTTTTTTTCCGGTGCAAGTTAGGAATGAGTTGTAATTCATAGGGATATGGTGAATGTTAGGTTGAGAAAGAATCTCAGTCACTCATTAGATAATTAATAGTTGTTATTAAAAATAGTGATCTCTACAGCGCTATTTGAAATAGAGGGGATCTAAATACAGAATGGATAATGTGAACCCCACTCAACGTGACATCATTTCTTGAGGCGGGAGAAACCTCTAGCTTTTGCAACTGAATTAAGTATAAAAATAGGACAAAAATTGTGATTATTTCAATTTCAAATTTTCAGTCTTTTCTTTTTGCAACAGGTTTTTGTCAAACGGAAAGTATGCCAAAAACGTTTGAACTAGTCCTTTGAAAAAACTCGTCAGATTATTCTTTTTGTGATTTTCAATCTATCCTATGTATGCTGTACTAACAAAACAAGCGTCATTGGTTGCAGAATTATGGCAGTTGACACTCAATTAGACATGTAACCTTTTTTTTCCTATCACTAATCATTCTATTTTGCTTTCTTATTCCTTCTTTCATTCTCAATGGTCTGCACATCTAAAATGAAATCTCAAACCTTCCACCTTTCTGGACATTAATGGACCGATGGTCCACTGACAACTATCTCTATGAATACAGTAATCTATAGTATTGTAATAATAAGCGCCCTGTTCATCGCCAGGACCGACATGATCACCTCCAACGCCACATGGTACACCGCCGTCCCCACCATCCACCAGATCCTCCTCGACCGCCCCTACCCTAGACTCCGCTTCATCCGCAGCTGCAGCGCCTCCCTCGCCCCCTCCATCCTCGCCCGCCTCGAGCAGTCCTTCGGCGCCCCTGTCCTCGAGGCCTACGCCATGACGGAGGCGGCCCACTTAATGGCCTCGAACCCGCTCCCCGAAGATGGGACCCACAAGTCGGGCTCGGTGGGCCGGCCTGTGGGTCAGGAGATGGCCATTTTGGATGAGAGTGGAAATACAGTGGGAGGTGTGCAACGGGGACCGAATGTTACCAAGGGGTACAAGAACAATCCGGAGGCCTGGCGGGAGAGGTGTGCATACGGGGACCGAATGTTACCAAGGGGTACAAGAACAATCCGGAGGCCAACAAATCGGCGTTTTTGTACGGGTGGTTTCACACTGGGGATATTGGGTTCATGGACTCGGATGGGTACTTGCATTTGGTTGGCAGGATCAAGGAGCTGATTAATCGCGGAGGTGAATATACATTTTTCTCTTCTATTAGAGATTGTTTTAAGAATTACGAGATATTTATAATTAAAGTTGTTAGATTGCTGATTACTGCATACCAAATTAATATTATTCTTAAAAGAGTAATTGAGGGATGGTCGTGCCTCTTCGTAGTGTGTTGTCGATAATCACTTCGGATTCCTGTTAAATAAAACCTGAACTATTTTACACAGGCGAGAAGATATCGCCGATCGAAGTAGATGCAGTTCTTCTGGCTCATCCTGATGTTGCTCAGGCTGTAGCCTTTGGAGTCCCTGATGATAAATATGGAGAAGAGGTAGCTCTTCTTTCACAAAACTTTCAACTTAATTCCTCGCTTTTATGTTTTCACAATTTCTAATAACTTTGTATTGTTGGTAGATAAACTGTGCTGTAATACCGAGAGACGGAGTTGAGATTGGTGTGGAAGATATTACAAGCTACTGCAAGAAGAACCTAGCAGCGTTCAAAGTGCCAAAGAAAATATTTTTGACAGACTCATTGCCAAAAACGGCCACCGGGAAGATTCAGCGGCG